CGGGTTTACCCAATCCAGGTCTCTGTGCATTCAGACTCTGGATCTCCTGTCCTGGGACCACAGTCACCACATGGTGATCTTGCCTTTACATGTTCCTGGTTCCCTGAATCTGTTTGCAGATTGTATATCTCGACCCAACAACATTCACCCGATGGAGTAGTCCCTCGATCCACAGGTCTTTTGGTGGGTGTGTTCTCAGCTGGGAACACCTGATGTCGATGCTTTCTTCACCCAATGGAACACCAAACTTTCTTCCTTTTGGTCTCCTGTTCCACACCCACTACCTTTGGGAGTGGATGCATGCAGTCAAGATTAGGAGGGGTTATCACATCTATGCTTACCTTCCTATTTGGCTCCCCCCAGAGTTCTATCCCTAGTCCAAACCACTCCATGTCTAGTTCTTCTGGTTGGTCTGTATTGGCCAGTGTAACCCTGGTTCCCACTACTCCAACCATTCCTTGTACATCCTCCCTTACCCTTACCTCTGTCTCATTCTCTTCTTCATCAGCCTTGGTCTTGTTCCTCCAGATGTCGCCACCCTCCGTCGTCATGAGTGACTTTTGTCAGGACAATTGCCTCATCACAGGGACTGACTCCATGTGTTGAATCTTTCCTTTCCAGATCCGTAAGATCTTCTTCCATGTCTGCCTTTGGTCTCTTTGACATGGTTTCTGTCCTTCCCACCTTTCTATTCATCATCTTTCCCAATTCTTGTCCAAGGCTTGTCTACTTTGACAGTGTCTAGCTATCAGGCAGCCTTGTCGAACACATTCCCTTTCTCCAAGTTTCATAAGGTTTTGTCTTCCCCTGTCATCTCTATTATTTTCTGCTCCTTTCAGGTCATGTGTTCTCCACGTTCCTTTGATTGGGATCTCAATGTGGTCCTTTATGCCCTTTCCCACTCTTCCTTTGAACTATTGTTGACATGTTCCATATACCATCTCTCCCTTCAGACCTATTTCCTTCTCATCCTTGTTTGCAGATGTTGTCAATCAGATATTTTTGCCATTAATGTTACCAGAATCCTCT